ACTTCATATCGCATAGAACAGTACCTTCCCCAAGGCCCAGCCCATCCCTTTGCCAAGACTATGCTGTCTCACTTCGACAAGCTTAAAGCATCAATCAACGCGGTTAAGTTGCATTCATCGCTAACTCAGCAAGCCACTCGTTTTCGTAATGCAGGATGGCCAACTCTAATCATGGCCCGTAATCTATGGGACCTTTGGTCCGATGATGCTTTTACCCCTCCCGCGCTCAGAAGCGGGCTGGATGCTATAGAGCCGTTTGACGAGTGGGAAGAATTCGCGCTATTTGGCGGTCATTATTTCCTACTCGTCGCCTCGAATTCGGAGCAACGGAGAACGCCCAAGTCGACCCACAGTGAGGCAGCAGCCACCGGAGAGTGCAGCAAGGCTATCGATGCGCAGAGTATAGCCCTTGAGATTCCAGAGCAATCCACTGGTGCCGTGACGCCACGACGTTTCACAGCAGCTTTCGCTGTTGACAAGGACTCGGTGGCCTTCCACGGAGGTCAGGGGACGCGTGCTCGTCTCGCCGATATGGATGTCCTGAGGCGGGAAGATCACAACGGGGATCGTATCAGCAAGCCTTGTGACTTGCTACCTACTGCACGCATGTGCCATACTATCACATCAATGCACAACGGTGAAGCGTTGTTGGTCGGAGGACGCGGATCGCCTACCCAGGCTTGTGCAGATTGCTGGCTCTTCGTTCATGGAGCTTGGACCAAAGTGGATGACCTTGTGCCAGCGCGATATCGTCATTGCGCCGTAGCTGTTACATTAGGAAGTGTGGAATCACAGACCCATGGTGTTTTCGTCTTCGGTGGCAAAGCCAGTGACGGCACAGTACTCGATGCCGAACACTACTGCGCCTTATGGACTGCCAACAACGGATGGCACAGCATTCCCGTTGACGGACCGCGCCCGTCTGTACGCTTCGGCGCCGCGATTTCCACGATCGGTTCTGCTCAAGATTGGGGGTTGCTGATAGGAGGTGCCAACAAGAGCGGCGTGGTCATGGAAGACGCGGTGTGGGAGTGGTCCGTTTCCGTCACACCAACACCACGACTCAACTTTAGGCACCGCACCAATGATGTGCGCAGCAGCTTGGAAAACTCTGCATGCGCGCGTATAGGTGCCAATCTAGTCCCTTGGAATGATTCCCTGATGTTGATTGGAGGTGTTTCAAAGAAGCATATCCACTCTCTATCAGACGACTTCCTGCTCTTGAAATGCAAGAACACGGCAATCGAAGTGGAGTGCCTCAGTATGCAGGTCTCACCACCAACAGCATGGCCTTTGCTAGTGGGTGTAGGGGCGGTTTCAACATCTCGAGGCGAGATTGTGCTTGCAGGAGGAGGGGCGGTATGCTTCTCAATGGGAAGCTACTGGAACGAAGAACCGATGACCATATTTCCCGGTCCTTCACAAGGGGCTAAGCCGTGGCGTCGCGTTGTGCCGAGTCAGGTCAGCGGCGCAGCAGGCACAGAAGGCACAGCACAAGCGAGCACTGCTGAAACGACGACTAAAAGCCAACGAGGGGAAGCGAAAGCGAGAAAGAGACCTGCTACTGCTGCACGTACTACTGAGATTGCCAGAGTGCAAATTCAGTCGTCAGATGACTTTGCGAAGCTGACGGCGTCGTTGAAACCGGCCATCATCGAAGGCCTCGATATCGGTCCGTGCACAGACTTATGGACACTTGACTACCTAAAAGAGAAGCTTGGCCCAGAAAGGGAACTCGTCATACACGAGTGCTCTTCAGACCGTATGACATTCAAGGACAAGAACTTTTCGTACATCAAGAGATCGGTCTCAGATTTTCTGGGCGGAATAGCACAAGGGTCTCATGCGTATCTTCGTGCTGTGTCATCAAGTCAGCCGAACAAGCTGCCCACCAAACTTGAAGAAGATTTTCCGACAATCTCCAACGATTTCCGTGTGCCCGCTGTGTGCAACATAGTTCAAGAGAACTACCACAGCTCACCCCTTCGCATCTCCGGGCCTGTGACCTTATGGCTACACTATGACGTCCTATCCAACATCCTCTGTCAGATCCGCGGTTCAAAAACCCTATTTCTCTATCCGCCTACCGATGTGTCCCTACTGGACTTCCCCCCTGGTGGCTCATCCTCCAATATCGATGTCTTGACCTCTAAAAACCCTAAGCTTCGGCGTACTCATCCCCACGCTGCTTCACTTAAGCCCGGTGACATCCTATACATACCACCCATGTGGAGTCATACAGCCACACCGGAAGACGGCGTTAGCGTGGCAGTCAACGTATTCTGGAAGGGGCTGGAGAAGGGGTACGCGGCAGGTAAGGATGTGTACGGAAATAGAGACTTGCAAGCATATGAAAACGGTAGAAGAGACGTGGAGAAGATTGTTAAAGCATTCAGAGATCTACCAGTCGATGTGTCCAAGTTTTATCTAGCTAGACTTGCGGACGAGATATCGGAGAGATCGGAAAAGCTGGGAGAGAAGAAGCGAACGAGTGGTAGTAGGGAAGATGAGCAATAGATAGTACGTATGCTGTCGGCAAATACAATCTGTGAACAGTTCTATTTGGCTTTTCCTGATTTCGATGTCTTCTCAGAACGCAAATCGCGTCCACAACATTTTTGGAAGCTTCATTTTACCTTCTTTCGCCTTTACCCTGCACCAATGGCCACTACTAACATGACTGATACGATATAAGAGTACTGAGTGTGGATGGCACGCAATGTATGGTGGATTTTGATGTGATTTGGAGAAACGAAGCTTGGATGTCTACTCCGTCTCAATAGGGTGTGAAGGTCTACAGCTCTTCGTCCCAGACTTCATTCCAACGTCCGGCATCCAATTCAACAGGCCCATCAAATCGACCAAATCTCGGCGGTCCCGTGCCTGGCTCGGGTAGACAAATCCATTCTCGTATGCATCCAGGTACTTCGTGTTTACTATGGCTGACGCAAAGCAAAGCTTGGTGTTCTTGTAATCCGGGCATTTCGACCTCACCCTGCCACTTCACCGGTTTTGGTCCGTCGTCTGAGGGTTTGAGTTCCATATTCTGGCCGCGACTGAGAAACAAAAGACATTTGTCCCGAACGAGATCGTCCATGCCACTGAACGCTTCATCTAGGATAACAATATCAGGATTCCGGATCGTGGCGCGCAGGAATAAGAGGACGCGCTGAGCTGAAAATGAGACTTCGCCAAACAGAGTGTTGGATGCCCACGCAGTAGTCTGGCTGCCTTTTTCACAGCTGCCGAATCCAGGTCTAAGTTCCGCCTCAAACCAGTTTAAGCATGCATCCACTCTTTTCTTCGCCTCTCCATCTAGTCTTGGCTTTGTGATTGGTGTATCAGCCCATGCACTCTCCAATGTTGTTCTCAGAGTCAGTCTCTTCGGAAACAGTGCATGAACCTCTGGACTCGCATGACCCATCCGCGACTGTATTTCGAAAATGGTTATGCCGGGGACGCCGGGCTCGGGTAAGCGAGAGCGCTGGAAGAGCTTTACAGGAGCAGAGTAAGTCTGTGGATGATCTGATGTCACAAGGGACAAGAGAGTGGTCTTGCCGGAACCATTCGCCCCAAATATACCCCAGCGTTGATTTCGACACACATCCCAATGAAGACCGGATTGAGAAACGCCATTGACTTCCTGTTTCCAGTCTCCTAAGACAGAGTTCTGGCCATAGGCAATGCGTACTCCTTGCATCTCGACGACGGGTTCTCCGATAGTAGGTATAGAGGTATCCACTCTTTCGTAGCCGTCTCGGCTCAGTGCCGGCGTACCTGGCGATGTTTTGGAGTCGTCTCTTCCTGATTGTTGTCCTGCTTTCGCTGTGTCTTTGATGCTTGAGCTCTGTTCATCATCCTTGAGACTGTCGATCTCCCCGTACTTCTCTTCCAGATACCTCAACACCTCCTCCTTTGGCCCCAGCCTATTAACCTTTCCGTCTTCCCCAGCGTACACAACATGTGTAATCCAGTCAGGAACATCGTCCTGCGGTCGTAGACTGAGAACAACACGTGGTGCGTTGGCTTCCGCAAGACGATGCAAAACCTTGGAGATGTGCTTTGTGACAATAGGATCAAGCCCAACTACCACGCTGTTAGCTTACTCTATTCAAGAATACAATAGCAGCACAAAGCCAAGACTCACTAAACGGCGCATCCAGACACAGCATCTCGGGCCTACTCAGCAATGCCTTCGCAATTCTCGCCCGTCTGCTCTGCCCATTGCTCAACATACTGACAGGCTTGTCGATAAACCTCTCTAGTTCCAAATCCCGCATTACCCTCTTCATATCATCCTCATCCACACTCTTTGCCTTCAATTCCTCTTCTCCAGGGTTCATCGTTACGATACCCGTCAGGTATCTCTGGACAGTGAAGTCGGTATCTTCTCTTAGGGACTCATAGCGTGCCGACAGATAGGCGCCACCAAAAGCTTTCCGCTCAACATCGAAGCCCACATACTCGATCGCTCGCTCGGGGAAGCGGAAGCGTGGTCTATTTTCTGTGATGGCTGGGGTGAGAAGGTAAGGGAAAGACCGCGCTGTTGGGGGGAAGCAGAGTAGTTGACCGCGAAGGACTTGGAGAAACGCCGTGCGAATGTCAGATGATGGGCTGAGAACCGCCCAATGCTGTTTCGGCGTTGAGAAGGATGGTAGATCTAACGTAAGGCCCGAGAATAACGGCGGGTTTGAAGCAGCATCTTGACCTTTTGACGAAGGATGTTGGCGGTAAAACGTGCCATTGGCGATTTTAACGATAGGCGACGACGAACAAAGCCTACGTGAAGTTCCAAGTCTTGCACATCTTGTGGCTGCGGAGAACAGCGCTTGCGGTCTTCGCATTTCGGAATCGCGGTGTTGTTGCACTCATGTTGGAACGGGATAAATGGCCTGCATTTGGTGGTGTTTGACGCAGCGGAAAAGTGTCCGTGTCCGCGAAGACGAAGTAGGAATGACGTCGCGCGCGGTCGCTTGGTCTGCCGAGGTATGTGATGGATGGCGTCTCCGCATAATTGTTACGCACGACAGATAGAGGCTCTAACCCTTCTCGCGCGAGCAACCTGACATGTTCCCTAGTTTGCAGCCGTCGAGGCCAAAGGTATGTCGTCTACAGTGGTAGTTTTATCAGACTTGCTGACAGAACGTAGCCTCACCAGCAACCCGCAACACCCTCATTCGCGCACCAACAGCGACGCGCCGCGCATCCGCCATCACAAGCCTCGCAACAACCTACAACGCAGCCTTCAAACCCATTCACCAACGTTTCGAAACCACGATCACAAATCGAAGCTATGCCACCCTTTGGCCCCCCACAGACGCCAGCTGCCTTCTTCACACCCATCTACGACAGCGCGATACGGCATCCAGTATTCTTCACGCAAAATCTGAAAAAGCCGCCGTTTCCCATACCACAAGCCGCTAGTCAAGGCTGGAGTCCAGTGGCGAGTGGCTATGTCATGGAGCAGAGGCGAGCAGAGGTGACGGGGAAGACGAAATTATGATCATGAAGTAACGTGTACAAGCATTGGGCGGCGTCGAGGAGTTCAAGGTGTCCGATTTGCACTCAACTGATGAGATTGAAAGACATGCGACATCTGCAAGCTATACGAGCTCTGGTCAGCCACGTTCGTGGATGCCTTGGGCTCGACTTCAGATTGTCTTGATTAGGAAACTCGCTGTTTTGAATTGTGCTACCCTTATATTGCTTGTCTTCTTCTAGTAATGCATGCTACCTAGTGTAGCGGGTATCTCTAGCAGCGGTCACGTTTAGACATATCCCTCCCTTCCGTTCCAGAGCTCCTTCAGACCCCACACATCCGAATTCCTACAAGCTCTGCCGGCCTACAAGCTTGCTGGGTAACAGGGCTGTCGTGATGACACAGCCCAGTGTTACTCCTCCAGCTAGATATAAAACACTGTTGATGTCCCTCCCTGCACCACCACCAGCATACAAGTGCTGTGCAATAAGTGGACTGATAATGCCGAACAGCCTGCCCCAGAAACTCGCGATACCGCATGCCGTGCCTCTGATAGGTGCCGGAAAAGCCTCGGGTGTCCAACCGTACAAGACCGAGTTGAACATGGATTGGAAGAAGTACTCCATGACGTTGAAGCCAATGTTCGAAGCTGCCGAGTTGACACTACTGAAGAGGAAGATGGAAATGCCCATGAGCGCAGAGGAAACCACCATTGTCCATTTGCGGCCCACTCGTGATGCACGATAAGATAGAGTTCCGAGCACAACGCCGAGAACTCCGGGAAGATAGATGAAAATGTAAGAGCGGTAGGTGTAGCGGAGCGAAAGATCAAGGGCGCCGTTCTTTACGGCCAAAATCTGTGGAAGGTAGGAGCCTAACGGAAAGTCAGTATACATTATCAAGGGAACAAATGTGCAACTCACCTGCAACAGTGAAGCCCCAATAGTCGCATATGTAAGTAAGCCAAACCAAAAGTGTCAATCTTGTCATCTGATAGCTCGAAAACAGAATCTTGAAGCGGTCGCCTTCTAATTTCAGCTTCTCAGCCCATGTGGACTTGAGCTGTTTGACACCACCTCCAAGCATGGGTCCAGTATTTCGGTCAGAATCAAACTCTCTTTCAAGTGCTTCGAGATCCTCTAGGACCAATGTACAGTTTGTACCGTTGTATTGAGCCATAGTGTGCAACACTTGGATGGCTTCTGCATCTTTTCCACGATATATGAGGAATTTCGGGGACTCCTGGAAGGTAAAAATAACCGAACGCAAGACGAAGACAAGTATCGTTATGCCTCCCAGAGTAAAGAGTAGATAGCGCCATCCCATATTGTCTTCCCTTGAGCAACAGGCCTCTCCTGTAGCAACGATGCCGCAAGCAGGTAACGCTCGATCTCCCTCAGAGAAATTGGGACTGCAAGACCAGTTGGGGATGAAACCATAGGCGAGCACTGAGCAGATAACAACACCGATTGGTTGGAAAATGGACAATAAGGGAAGAAGGTAGCGCTTGCTCTGGGGGGTGGCTTCCAAGGTTATCGTGGTGTCAATGGGAATGTTACCCCCAACGCCGAACCCAGTAAATGCCGTAAGAACCAGAATGGCGTTATAAGTGCTTGGAGCGCCAATGCAAGTGCCGAAGATGCACGCGATGAAGACTGTCAGGTTGAAAGAGAACTTTCGCCCAATCACGTCCACAAGGACACCCCACACAAACGCACCGGCGGTGAGTCCGATCGAAAAGGCAGTGGATAGCTTGCCAGTTTGATCAGCTCCAAACCCCATTTCCTGCTGGATGGGCGAAAGGACGAGGCCAAATGCCTGTGCCCACATCAAGTCAATCATGTAGCCAAAGCCACAAAGGGCCCAAATCGACCACTGGTATCGACCCATGCCCATGAGGTCGATCTCGCGGTTGATGAGCAAGCATTTCTTCTCGTACAAAGAGATATCCTCATCGCCAAGCTCTTCAGCTAACGAGCGTGAACGCTCCGGGTCGTCCGATCGATCATGGCTAACAGGCTTCTCTTTGTCTGTGTCCAAAGATGTTCCGTCTCTTGTGGTTATTTCTTCGGCAAGATTCGTGTGGTCAAGTGTAGAATAGTTTCGAGAAGAAGATGCGATTACCTCGCCGGTGTTCAAAAGGGCGTCGCCTTCACCCGCTTCAGAACTCGGACGCGACATTGTTGGGTTGTTGTCTGAGTACTCGACAGACGGCGAAATGTTGAGAGATGCCCCTTCGGCGCTTACCCCTCCTGTGTGTGTACCATAGGCTTCACATGGGCGGCACTACACTCCGCGGCGGGGGAAGGCTAAGATGCGTTGGGCAGTAGTTAAGCGATGCCTGATAAGCACTTTGATTGCGCCGGTGTAGCTGCGGTGTCAGAAGTGTCAAAGGAGCTGCATCCATGGCATTGCGTGCAGACGTTGAGTGTCGGGTGCTAACGCTTTGAGGCTCAGTCTAGGCAGATCCTGTTGTTCAACACGCCTGGTTGTTAACAAAGGTGCGACAGGAACGATCATTGCTCTTGATGGGAACCTGAGGATATCAAAATGGAGAGACAAGCATGTTTCGTACCGCTAGTGGATGTGACCGGAACATCTTCCGGTAAACATTGCCTTGTCAATAGTGGTGAAAGCTTACAGTTCAATCTGTGGAAGTCTCTGCTTGTATGCGAAGGGATGTCCTTAGGTGTTAGGAAGGTCAGCGACGTAGCAGGCATATATACATGGGTATGCGGATTGTTCTATCGTCTCTGTTACTCTCGCGGCCGTAACAGCGTTGTCGTCAAAATGTCGTGCGCAGTGACGTATCTGTATGCGAGTCCTGAGTAGCGAGCATGGGATTTTGAAAGCGCATGTCATTGTAGATGCGAGACCACCCACACACTGAGACACCGCACGACTAAAAAGTGCGGCAATAGATAGCAACATGCGAGGGCTTGTGTCCCATGACCCGAGATTGAGTGGGGATGTGCAGGCTGACACTCGGCTTGCCCAGTTGGGCGGGCACTTGATGCGAAAGATCGCGATCTGAGATTGAACGCGAATGCAACGAAGACTGAACGGTGAGCGAACATTAGCGAAAGTCGTGAAAGTGAGTGAAGGCGAAGAAGACAGATCGAGTTCTAGTGCAGTCAAAATGCAGGACGCAGGTCTCGCTGCCCATGCAGCGTTCAGCTAAAAGGGTCTAGCTCCACTTTCCGGCGCATGTGCTGCCAAGGCCGGAGCGGTGGATCTGTGCGCCGTGATGCTGGAACTTTTTTTCGGAGACATAGCAAAAGTCCAAAGCCGCGAACAACGCTTTTTCAATTAATCTATTTGCAATGGCTCCCCGTAGAAAGCGCCAGCGGCTCTCGCTCGATGGAGCAGAAGCAGTCACAGCCACCGCCGATGTTGAGCAACCCTCGAAGCCTTCCACAGCAGCGCCCAAAGAAGCTGCACGCAGACAACTTTTCGTTCGCGGACTTGCGCCCACTGTCACCACCGAAGACCTGACCGAATACTTCTCCGAATCATACCCAATCAAGAATGCGCTCGTCGTGCTGGATAAAGAAACTCGCGAATCCAAGAGCTACGGTTTCGTCACATTCGCCGACGTGGAGGATGCGCAAAGAGCAAAGGAGGAGTTGAACAACACAGAAATCAAGGGAAAGAAGATTAAGGTCGACTTTGCCGAGGCCAGACAGCGAGAGGGCGAAGAGAAGCGTCCCCGGGCTGGTGACAGGGCCAAGGCAGAGCGCGAGCAGCAGATCAAGGATGCGCAAACACCAAAACTCATCATTCGCAACCTTCCATGGACTATCAAGACGCCAGAAGATTTACAAAAGTTGTTCAGAAGCTATGGCAAGGTCAACTTTGTCAATCTGCCCAAGAAGCCAAATGGTGAACTGAGAGGCTTTGGCTTCGTCTCGCTAAGAGGAAAGAAGAACGCGGAGAGAGCGATACAGGAACTCAACGGCAAAGAGGTTGGCGAGAGGCCCATCGCTGTCGATTGGGCCGTGGATCGAGACACATGGCAGAGCCTGCAAAAGACCGAGCAGGAGGGCGACGATGCCAAGGACGAGGGGGAGGACGAAGATGAAGACATGGAAGATGCGGAGAGCTCTGCCGTCAGCTCGGACGAAGATGACGACGAGGAAGACGATAGCGAAGACGACGAGGATCTCGACGATAGCAACACCGACTACGAAGACATATCGGAGGATGACGAGGACGGTGGTGTAGAACTTGACCAAGAAGACACCCGACCAAAGCGCGAGGAGTACACCGTCTTCGTACGCAATGTCCCCTTCACAGTAGACGACGAGCGTCTTAAGGAGCACTTCCAGCAGTTCGGTGGCGTCCGATTCGCGCGTGTCGTGGTCGATCGCGAAACGGAACGACCAAAGGGTACGGGATTCGTCTCGTTCTTTTCGGAAGAAGACATGATCAATTGCCTGAAGGGAGTCCCGCGCGTCAAGCTACAGAAGAGGAATCTCGACAAGAAAGACGGCTCCACCATCACGGTTACACACTCTGTACTCGAAGACGAAGATGCCGACCCAACTGGCAAATACACCATCGACGGCCGTATCCTACAAATCTCACGCGCAGTGGATAAGAACGAAGCCACCCGTCTGACAGCAGAAGGCGCTGCTTCGCGCTTCAGTCGCGACAAAGACAAGCGCCGTCTCTACCTTCTCTCCGAGGGAACCATCTCCTCTAACTCGCCCCTATACCAGAAGCTCTCGCCCTCTGAAATCAAGATGCGCGAAGAGAGCGCAACAATGCGACGTAAGCAGATCCAAGAGAATCCTTCGCTTCACTTGTCCCTTACTCGCCTGTCTATACGCAACATTCCCCGCAGTATCACATCTAAGGACCTGAAGCAACTTGCTCGTAGCGCCGTCGTTGGCTTCGCAGCCGATGTTAAGGAGGGCAAGCGTCAGAAACTTAACAAGGAGGAAGTCATCCGTGGCGGTCAAGAAATGCTTGTCGCCGAGAAAATGCGTAAGAAGAAGGGCAAAGGTATTGTCAAGCAAGCCAAAGTCGTCTTCGAAACACCTGCTGGTAGCAAAGTTTCCGAAGATACTGGTGCAGGAAGGAGTAGAGGATACGGATTCATTGAGTACTACACGCACCGAAATGCACTTATGGGCCTGCGATGGCTCAACGGCCACGCTGTAGACTACAAGATCAAGTCTGGCCCTACCCCAAAGAGCAAGAAGGCTGCCCAAGAAGCGCTGGAAGATAAAAGAAAGCGCCTCATCGTCGAGTTCGCCATCGAAAACGCCAACGTTGTTAACCGACGTTCGGACCGCGAGGAAAAGTCCAGAGAAGCACCCAAGTCAAAGGCGGATGGCGAGGCTGACAACAGCGATGCCGAGCCGGGTGCGACTCAAGGTCAGAAGCGCAAGCGTAGTTCTAGCTCTGCAACCCAAAATTCGGGCAAGGGTAAGAAGAACGGCAAAGGGAAACAGGGTACGGGTGCTGCGGAAGCTGACGCGGAAGCCGCCGCTGCAGTGAAGAGCAAAGACGGGAAACTGGCACAGAGGACGAGAATCATTGCGAAGAAGAGGCAAGCGAGGAAAGCAAGAAAAGCTGGAAAATAAAGGTTATGATTGCATGTCGTTAGTAGCATTAGCGAAGGCGTTGATGTCAATGGAAAAAGTGGTTATTGATCCATGGTTTTGCTGACTTTGTCTCGTGTTTTTCTTCCGCGGCCTTGGACATTTGACAACATGGAATATGATGAAGAAGCAGAACATTCCGCTGCAAGCCACTTTACCCACTGTCGGAGCCTGGCCGATGATTCGCCCCGGACCATACTCGCTTCTGCTTGTCCCTTGTTCTCTTGCTACCCACCAAATCGTTGTCTTGGTGATTCGTTACAATTTCTGTGTGTACGCTGATTAAGTCGCCTAGACTACTTCCGTCGAGACGCCATTCCTTTTGTGTACGGTGTCCTACAGGCAAGACGATTGATAAAATGGAGGCTGGCTGAGGAACGGGGAGTGTGGGAGTACCAACCACTCGAGACGACGTGTCGTATGGAGAGTGCATAAATGTGCGAGTTCATAGAGCAAGCTATTTCTACGATTCACAGTGGCACCGACATGTTCAGGAGCTTAGATTTGTACTTGAGATGTACTTGACGTGTACGTTCTAGAATATCTAGGTAGTCAAACTCGTGTATGGCCTCTTTAAGATCATATGGTTTTGCAACTTCTGAATAGTCCACCGGTTTTTCCCTCGGCGGAATATGCCGAGGAACGATATCGGAATCTGTTCGTACGGATCCTGCATCGTAGTATTGCCGTGGTGTGCAAAGGAGCGCATATGCAGTGTTCCGGCTGTAGTGACTGGAAGGAACATTGCGCATAAACGCTCGCGGGTGAAGCCGTCTGCACAACTTATCGGTTCGTGGATGCGGCGTATGTACGAGAACGCGAGTGCCTTGCTTTGAGTTCGATACCGAGTCAGTAAACACAGACAAAGTTGATGGCACTGCTCATTCTGATCCAAAGATCGCACTGTTAGATGAGATCGATCGTGATGGATCTTGTGTTTCCGGAACATCTGATCGTGTGCCTAAATCGGGTGCGTCTTCCACTGCGTTTTTCTTTGACGTCTGCTACTACCACCAACAAATCAGGTTTGTAGTAACTTTTCCCAGTACTCGATACACCCAACTGCCAGCCAAGGAACAGCCCCTTGAGTATCATGGGTCATGCTTCACATCCAAGGCGGATAGAAGACGCGGCTGCCTCAAGAACGAGCCGTAGGCACAGCTCCAGGGATGTTTTCCTTGGCTGCAGCTCAAATTTACTCTAAAAATCCGGTCGACTTGTATACAGCTGTAGTACAGAGATAGCAGGGCAGGGCAACGATATCAGCACCTCGAGAGAAAACCATCTGCAGGTGCAAGGGCCGGCTCACAGACCGATTCCCCAGCGCCTGCTTTACTCCTCATTCATGAATCGTTTTGCATGGCGAACCATCTTGTAGTCTCGACATCTGTAGTGTTCTGCGGCAGTACGATGGTGGCTTGATAACTTATGAGCACTCACAGTGCTTTTCGTTTGCTGGTACCACTAGGTGCCATCCAAAGAAATAGACCAGATTAAGTGTGGGGCTTTACAATAGGTAGGTAATGAAAGACTCTCATCACCATTTCGTAGAGTGATACAGCGGTTTGACCACGATAGCAACAACTTTTGTGAACTTGTGCGAGGAACAATGAGCGACGGACAATCAAGCTCAGAAAACACTCGCCTATGAGTGAAAGCGCATGACAGCAAATGCACACCAACGATCTGGGGGTTATACCGGGGAAGCGGTTGGAAGTTGTGACAATCAGGGTAGGGAAGGGATTGGCTTCCAAATCCTAAGCCAGTGAGAGGTTCATGCTCATGAACGATGTTCAATGTGGTCATGCTATCAGCCGAGCTTTGATAATTGGAGTTCATGCTCGCATCTTCATGTCATCATGACATGCTATACCAGGCCAGATGGAGAAGGAAAAGATCACCCTTATTTGTTAGCATGCGATGTATGCTTCGAGATCAGATGTGCTGACCTGATTTAACTACCGACTCGTGAGAGGCTACAGATGATCGTGTCAAACCCGGCATCTGTGCAGCCGTGGCATGACTGCGTGCTGAGCACAACGGGGAAACGGGTAGCCCGATCTATGCTGGACTTTTCGTAATTAGATCCGCAGCCCCCGGTACACTAGTTTGATCAACGGGGCGTAAGCAATCGTTCAGCAGAGCTCGATACCTAGGTACCCAAAAGCTTATCCTGCATACCACGGCCAGCGTCCTTTGATTCTCATGTGCGTTCGAGCGCAAAGGTGACTTTCCGTAGACTTTTAACTCATGTTTGTTAAGCTTCCACCGGGACGAAAGCGTATTGGCTACAGCGACCATAACTGTGGACCGTACAGCAGGACCAATTGAACGCGTCGGGTGTCCGTGTAGGTCGAATCTGGGCATTGAATAACTCCTTCCCAGACTAGCTTCTAGCAGACAAGCTGGGCGCGGTGTTTTCGCCAATGGCCAACTTTTGAGTAGTCGAGCACCAAGGCTCAACTACCAGCATCTAGGGACTGTGAAAAGGCGTGCATGAGAAGTGCCGGCTGCAGATGCGTATGAATCCTTCCGGTATGGAACTGTGTCACAGAAATTTCAGCCTGCACTCTGTTCCAGTAGGGAGGAAAAAAGAGCGTGGGGGTTGCGATAGTACAACGACACGACTGACATCTTTGACCTGTCAGGCAATCAACTAGCCTAAGCCCGTATGTGATGCGTAACTCAATTGCTGCAGGCACTCTTTCCAGTAAATGAGATTGTTCAAAGGAAGGCGCGGCCAAGAAGTTTGTCAAAGAAGCATATAAAGAGTCGCAACTTTCTCCTTTTCAGTGCAATCCCCAGACTTCCCCAGATTTTCTCCACAACCCTCTCAAATTCTGCGTACCAACAGCCTATAACACAAAAGTTCGGCACGTGTATACCACGGCCACCAAATCTCGAGTACAAGCCACAAACGTGCAATCTCGATGTACGTTTGCAAGGTTCCACCATAGCCAACAAGCTGACAATGATTATAGTGCCCGAACACAAGACCGAACAAGCAGTCATACCATCGACACAGAAGAAAATGTGCTTTTATGAGAAGATCACATTCTCTTGCAGCCATGTCGAGCATCTGCTCATACAGCATTGCCATTTCGCACGCAACGATCCTGGCCATCAATGTTTCGGCGCTTGGAACGTCAGACGAGAATGGTATCAACGAGAGATGAGTTGTAGCGACTGTGTAAGACAGAAACAATACAATTCTGCAACACATGGGGGACAGTCAGCATACACCGTCGCCAGTGGAAGGTAGTTGTCCCTGCACGAGTGGGAAACAAGAAGCCACCCATAGCTACTTGTTGTATATCTAGAGTCTTTTCTTTGTCTAAAAGAGCTTATATTTTCCCGGCGAGTTTCGAGTATCTGGATCAGATAATAGGAGGAAAGACTGTAGTAGTACTGTTGGGTTTCTGTCATTGTTGTACGCCTGGGCGGTCGTATCGTGCTTAAGCGACAGGTCTTGACGCCTGTGAGATTCGGGGTCCAAAGCCACCACGTCCGGCCATTCACACATTCACTGTATACCATTAGCTCTGTATGTGCATATCACCAAATATAGGGTAGATCGAAATACAATCTCACGCAAGCTGCAAACGTTGTCCGGTGTGCTTCTGAGAAGGAGACTTAACACTATTAGCGGCTCAACCAGAGATGCATATTGAGAATGACTCGGAACTTTGTGAAGAATACTCAAGCATATGCTAGCGGGCAGACGATGATGGGCGTACTGATTTAGCGAACTGGATGGCGTCAGGGAAGTGCTACTTGTGGCCTTGCGGGATGAAGAAGTCTGTGGCGGAATGAGGCTTGTGCGACCCTAGCCTCAGCCCCACCCTGCCATGCCGAAGCTAACATCGTGACTTCCCATCGTGGGCATTCAACGTTCCACATCACCAACATCGATATACGGCCCTCCACCATGTCAGATGCTACAGAGCAGCCGAAGAAAGAGAGGTTCGCGCCAAAGCAACCCGTCACACTGAATCCACCGAAGGATGATGTCATTGAGCGCGATTACCTCGCAAAGTGTGATGGTACGGCTTCTCCATGACTGGCGAATGCTGGGTGGCCAGTCGCTGACTAGCAGCAGGTACAAATGATGGATTTCCAACTCTAGTCGCTATCAAGGTATGTACCACTGTTCCTGAAGTATGGTATCTTGCACATGCAGAAGGATTGACTTTGATTTAGGGTGACGTCTTTGACGTGAGTGGTAAAGAGACGTATGCACCCGGGAAGGGCTATCACGGTTCGCCACCCCTGAAAGAGATATTGCGTATCACAAGAGCTAACCCCGTGTGCCAGTCTTTGCGGGGAAAGAGCCCAACCGCGCCCTTGGGCTTTCTTCCCTCAAGCCTGAAGATTGCATATCTGACTACTCAGAACTTTCCGATAAGGAAAAGCAAGTACTCAACGATTGGCATACGTTCTTCAGCAAGCGGTACAACATAGTCGGCCGATTGCCTTCGGAGGGTGCTAATCTTTGAATAACATTCTTCTCCAAGTCCCGGCTAGGAGACGAACCATTATTGACTAGCACAATGCAGAGAAGCAAATCAAGAAGGCTACAATCTCATCTGTGTAATCATTCCGTCGCGGTTGCTTTGTCATCAGTAACGCCCCCAATCTCTGTTTAATGACGACTATCAACTGCCCATACACAAATCACCTTCACCTACCAGTTGATCTTGTACGGCCCGGTAATAGGAGACTATTGGCGTACTCATAGTGCAGAGATTCAATAGCCGGCAGATTTCTTATATAGCTCCTACTCCACCAGCCTGCCTAGCGACTCGGCAAGTACCACAGATCGACACTAACCCACACCATAGTTTGCCAATCGACATCCACAGTGCAATCTCTAGCATCGTACCGTGTTGTCTTTGCTAAGAAGGGGACTTTACCATTAGTGCGATAAGAGAGTGCACAACTTCTGCAGCAGCCAGAACGGTGGTTTCACCCGGGTTGTCGTAGATAGGAGCCACTTCAACTGTATAGGGTGTACTATATCAGCATTTACCAATCTCACAGTGGACTTGCTCCAAACCAAAGGATACTTACCGACATCTGCTCCGATAACATCCAGTCCTTCGAGACCATCCAATATGGACAAGAGCTCTCGCGTAGTCCAGCCACCGACTTCGGCTGTTCCTGTAGCTATCATTCTATGTTAGTTACACCGTTACCTAACCTTCGAGAGTGATGACTTCGAAATATTGCTGCTGTGTTGAAGGCGACCGCTTGTGGCACGGTGACAGTTCTGTCGCACAGAGGTATGTTCCCAACAGTGACTTACCAGGTGCGAATGCAGGATCAAGCACATCGATATCGACACTGATGTAAACCTTTGTTCCAGCCACCCGAGACTTCAGCCTAGCAATGACACCTGCTACACCGAACTGATCGATTTCTCTGGCTTTGACAATCTCGAACCCGCATCGGATATCATTTCGCAGATCACCCTTTGGTCGTCCCATGGGAGCTCGGATGCCCGCGTGAATACTAGTGTTTCGAATCAAACCTTCCTCATGCGCGATATGCAGGAATGTTCCGTGATTAACACCTCTGATTTGAAGTTTCAGCAAGTTATGGAGTCAATTTTGACATGCAGACTTACGCGTAATGGGAGATGCCTCCGCCTGCAGTATATTAGTAGCTAGTCATGCATCGGGATGACTCTGCTCACCGAGTACTTCAGGGTCCCACGTGTCTTCCAAGTGATCAGCAAAGTCCAGGCTGTAGTATTACTAACTTACCCAAATGGCTGTCGAAGTGGATGACGCTAACCGGGCCCCAATGGTTGTGAGTCGATCGCAGCGCAGATAGCGTTGTGGTATGCTAATCATAGGTGTATGAAGTCAGTGTATGTCTCACATGCAATTCGCGCAGACACCTACATCACCACCCAACGTCACAATCTTTGGTGTTGTGTGCTCGCTCGAATTGGTAGGTCTTGCGGACACGATCTTGAGAATGACAGTTAGACGCCTGAGTCGACCATAACTTGGGGTTACTAACTTCATGCGCTTTGTCAAGCTGCTTTAAGGCTGCAGTGTTGTCCTTCCAAACTGGTTAGCTCTCGTTCTTCTCTGTTTTGCTGGGATCACCTCACCAAGAATGTCAATGGCGCATCACCGCAGTCAACGATTTTTGCCCAACCCTCAAATACGTTCTCACCTAAAAAGCTTTAGTAATGCATTCGTGTCTTATCTCATAATGACGAGCGAAGCTTTGCGATGGCAAGTGAAAATTCAACAATATCGACGTGCTGGTCATAGCACAGCAGGTGATATGGCGCGCGAGCCTTACGAACACGACACGTCAAGATAACGTGGTATGACAAGCGTCGTTACCAGTATCACCGCCTCGCACAACAAAGTGAAGTCCGTGCTTGCGGAACCAAGTCCAAGTCCCTACACGCACACCCCCACAACACTGTAACATACCTGTATATATGGACCAAGCACTGGCTGGTGATATCCGGCTCGAGCCCTGTCGAATTCCACTCGGGCCGAAGCGCGCTCCAGGTCGTGCGGTAACACCCTACCGGGTGTTAGCCTTCTCCAAAGTGATACGTCCAACAGTGACACTCCGAGTGTCATCCACAGGACAAACTTGACCCACTGTGTCGAATGGTGCACCTAGGATTGCAATGTCAAATGGCACCACATCGTGCTGTTCCGGAGCCAAACAGTGTACGTAAGGAAGGTTGGCATATGTCATCAGACCTGCGAACTTCGCATGAGTGATATCTAATCCAAGGTTCTGCTGAGGAATGATTTGTTGCGATGAGTATCCAGAGACTGGTGGGAATGTAATGTCTCGAGCGCTTGTGGAGAGCTGGACAGACGACAGTAGAAACAATAATGATATGAGCGCCATTATGAATGCAGGAGTGTTTAAAAGATGAGGTACGGTGAGTAAGGAAGTAGGAGTCTCTCATGCAACGGTATTATATGCTTATCTTCATTATTCGTTGATGGCATTCTATACAGGCGCTCCAAGCTCCAAGCGGCAGGTCTAGCCGATCATACCCCTCCCAAGCCCTGCAACGGCTGCTAGTCTGCTACCTCTTCTAGAACTTGCACATAATGCGCAACTCCGGAACTCTTCATTGTCCGCGGGTTTTATTCTAGCAACTCCAACTCCTCTTCGTTTTCGGTGCCGTCCTTAGGACCAAGGAACATGATATCGTGCAAACATTGATCCCAGTCCGTTCCTGAATGATCGCCCGCCAATCTCTTGTTGTTCGCAGTCTCTCTGAGGCGCCACCAGTATTGAACCTTCACCAAAAGACCTTCCTTTCCTTCGTCCCACAAATTGACGCGCATTCCAACCCATCCTTCCTGAATAGCTCTTGATTTCATCTGTTCCACAGTCAAGCCAACAGGCGCAGTGATGTCATCGGAGCCAAATCCGAACTCGCCGGGCCGCAACGGGCGTATGGTGTAGACGCTTCGCTCTTTTGCTCGCGTTGTCGCCCGTGATCCCGTTGCATAACAATCAGGGCGACCCGAGATGCAAGTTGAGGATGAAGCAGGTGCATCTATTGGTATCTTCCCCTGTTGTGCGTCTCGCAGATACTGCACGATCTCATCACGATTGGTTGCCGCATAGGAAGGCGTTGGTCGGCAAATTTGCATGCAGTCTGGAGAGAAGAAGGAGCCTTTGCGGTCGATGTCTCCAGTGTGCCGATACGCGTGGTAGGAATGCTTGATGGAAGCTACTATATCCGCTGTGGGTTGATTGTAGTCCGCCATGGTAATTTGCAATCGCTGTTCTAGGGCCTGCAGCTTCCCCTTTATAATTATGGACAACTCGCAGACTTATCTTTAGGGTCTCTGTCTTTCGTAGTGCCATGCACGTAACGGTTGCCTTAATAGTAGTGGACAAAGCTGAGCTTGGATGTAAGCGCAAATGACTCAGCACTCCTCTGCCGAATCCAGCAATGCACTGAATCAGCAAGTAACCAGATTTCTGAGGCACCCGGCTCACGAAGAAATACGGAGCTACTTGTTGAGTACTAACTAATCAGCGCCGTTACTTCGCATTCATACAACAGCTCTTTCGTCGCTAGACTTGCAACACCAACCACCGTATCAGGTGGTCTATGTCCTTCAGCCTCCTTGTCCATGTATTCCATCCAAAGCTCTCCCCAGCCACGATCTACAACGTCCTTTTCGTCCTGCTTCGGGTCACCAGTTTCCTTCACAATGTAATGTCGGACCATGACCTGGATAGGAAGCGTAGTTAGCCAAGTCGATAGGAATCAATCACAACTCGGGGGAGTTTAAGCAAAGTCTAATGCGTACGATATCCCGTGGTGTTGCACCAGCAGCGGCTAAGCACTTGTGAATGCTATCATAGGCGCCCTTTGCTTGCTCTCTGAGATCAGAGGAGATGGGACCATCTTTTCGCATGCCTGTTTGACCAGCAAGAGTGATCAGTTTGGATGATGACACTACAGGAGTAATGCAGACTTGATTGTAGGTTGGGGCGGGTTCAGGTACGGAGGGTGGGTTGAATGCATGAGGCTTTTTGGATGCCATGACTGGAGTTTACAATGCCTGAACGTGTGACGATTATTTATGAGCTCTACATGCTTCTCATGTCGAGTATGACCGGTGAGCTATGAGGGGTACGTTCGCGTGTACCTGCCGTGGGTACTATGTGGGGTACTGGCGTGAAGCATGGGCCATGGTGACATCATCGTCTTTCGTCACGCGAATCCACTTTCAATATGCGAACCGAACGCGACAGACTTCAAACACAATCCGGATGGCTGATTAAACACAACCTCATCATTGGATCATAATGGGGGTACTTAATTGAGGTACGAGTATCCACCTGCAACCGGACGAATGGGATGCAGCCAGACGCGCCTGCATCCGCCAGAATGCGGGGAAAGCTTCAGAGACCAGAAGGTTAAAGCCGTAAGCTTGTGACAGCTCGCGCGACCTCAGTTCACACCACCTACCTCTTGTTCGATAGATACTGCTGAAATTATGGCGTCTGGCTGGTTCAGCTCGTCGTCAAGCGACCCGACGCGTCCTCCTGACGTCCGCTTCCAGGTCGCTGAAGAGAAACCTCACGGTTTATACCTGCAGCCCAGCTCTGGTGGTTCGAGATCCGCCACGAACCGCTCAGCGACGCCGACATCTTCGGCTTACGTGGATACAACTCACTCCAAGACGCATGTTCACAATGCTTCACTCTTCGACGTAGGCATCTTGAAGGACACGCTTGTCCCTTCGCTCACCCTACACTCTGGTCTGGCTCTCATCGCATATGGGGCTGCACGATACACAAACCGCGTTGAAGCCAAGGACTGGCTTTGGCCGAGCGGTCAGGTTGTGAACGCTTGGTGGTCAGCTGTTGGACGCCGTCTCGCTCAAGGCTACACAGTTTCCCAGGCATTCAGTCGTCTATCATGGCACGAGCGTGTTATCCTTACCGGTGTCACACTATGGGGAGGACGTCTCTTCTACCGTATCGTTCGCCGCTCCCTTCAGCGAGGTGAGGACGATCCGCGATATGCCGAGGTCAAGAAGGAGGAAGGCTTCTGGAACAGTGCTCTGTTCAAGGTTTTCGTTCCTGAGGCTTTCTTCCAGATGCTCATTAGTCTTCCATTTACCGCGCCGTTCCGACACGAAGGTGCTGTTATGACAGGTTACCATCCCTTCGTTCAGATGTTTGCCGTCGGATTGTTTTCATCTGGTCTGGCTTTGGAGACACTCGCCGACTACCAGCTGGACCAGTTCAAGGCAGAGGGCAACAAGGGCATTATGCGCGAGGGAGTATGGAGCATTGTCCGCAACCCCAAGTATGTACCCGTGATCTAACTCTACATCACACACTAATTCCTTAAAGCTACCTCGGCGACGCCCTCGTACACATATCATTCATCGTCATGCTCTACGGTTCCGATATGCTCGCTCCTGTCGAACTCTTAGGTCCCGCCGCAAACTATGCCTTCCTCCGCTTCTTTGGCGGCGATGCCGAGAAAGAGAAACATCAAGAGCGTCGATACTCTGCTTCTCAACCCGACAAGTTCCGCGAGTTGGAGAAGTTCAGGGCTGACAAGAATGCTTTCTGGCCAAGCGTTGATGAGCTAAGCAACAAGTGGCTATGGACTGTGCTGGGCGTTGGAGGATTGGGTATTGCAGTTGAGCAAACGCTTAGGGCACTACACTAGGTCTTACAATCTCAATGTGAGGAAGTGCCGTCTGAGCGGATGGCTATAGGATGGGGTTTCAGTCTACTTAACCAGACTTGTAAGATACAATTAGCCTGCATAATTTTCAGTTATTTTTCAAATCATGCACGTACCTCCTACACATTTAGAGTTTCAAACGGTATCACCGATGCTCTGTTCCGGCTCAATATTTCACAAGCTTGATTGACTGTTCCATAATTTGGAGAGTCTGATGCGCAAATACATCAACGATTGTCTGCCATAACAAACGCTTGATTCGCCAAACAATACCGGCAAACCCTCCAACTCCAGGGATTGTTCCAACTCAGTACCAGCTTCTTGAGGCTGCTCCCATCTCTCTCTCAACGCATATTGATATATCTACCGTCGCTGTGTGAACTCTGTAGAAGGATCAACAGTAAGCCATGGATGGAAAAGATCTTGCCGGAGTCATCTTTGTAATCGTATTCCTTCCTCTGATCATTGTCCTTACTGCTCTATGTCTTTGGTGCAATCGCCATCCTCGAAGTGGAAGAAACTGTCAAAGGCCAACTCCATCACGTACGACTGAGATGCAATTGCCTTATTTCAATTCGCCGCCATTCGATGGAGCGTATTTCTCTCCACATTCCAAACCATCCTACAACCGTTCCAAGAGATATGCGCCGAACAAATATGTCTCCGGCCAGCCTCGATACACTCCACGAATTCACACGGACAATACAACACATAAGCTTCCTATGAGGCAGCAGAGACGACAGCAGTTACGAGATGAGCTGTATGACGGGTTCGATATCACGCCTGAGATGGTTAGACCGCAGTTACCTGATTCGGCCTATGCCGACCTAGATATTACTTATGAAATGCTTGGAGGGCATCGGCAAAGGAGTGTGCTAGCGCGGGCAGGAAGACCCAGGAGGGGATCGGCTCCTAGTTGAGGAAATATGGGGTCAGTGTCGAAGGTTTGCTATGCGCGAATTTCACGGTACCGGGACGAACTGCACTCGATCGAACGGATCGATCTATTGTAAATAGGAGCAGATAGACCTTGTCAGCTGATGGCGATTGTATATAGCCCACGAAAGCCGTTTGAGTTATCGACACGTTTTTAACAAACGATCGCTTCAACGAACGTAACTACCTAGGTACGCCATGATCAACGAGACTGCCGTTCATGAATACAAAGTCAACTGTCACTGCACAAAATCCATTTTCTCTTGACCAGCTCACTCTGTTTCAAGCCCAGTGTACACGTGCCCATTTCCATTATGAACGCAAGGGACAGAGCAGGTATGGTCTTCATGGCCGTATTAATCCCATGCTTGGTAATTGGAGTGCTTATGTGCTTCTCCTGCCGCCGCAGCCGAGACCGACGAAGTCGACCTCCCCCTTCCCAGAATCTTCCCACGCCTAATCGTAGCGGTGGAGCGGTTGGATCCCCTGCACCAGTTTCGACACAAGCGACAGCACCATTATCCGTGCATGTACCTGACCACACTGCTTGTTCCCATCGATCATCGGCTCCTCCCACACGGACCCAGTCAACTACATCTGCCCAAGGAGCAGTACAAGCAGCTGGCTTGCCGAAGTTCGAGCAAGATCAATTGCTCCAGCAAAATGGTGCCATGGGATCGATAATAACTGGTCCAACATCGACACCATCTGTGACAAGTCATGCTTCGACAGCTAGGCCGGGAGGTAGCACAACCCAGACAGGGCACCGGACACAGGCCTCTTAGAGTTGATAGAGATGACCATCGCCACCAGACACGCAATCAGTCAAAGTATATGCGATGTCGTTTCGCCCCAGAAAGGAGGGTCTTGGAATATGTTTTACTGGCTATTGCAATTACAACATAAACATGAATTTCTTTCTTTCTCTTCTCATGCTTCCACCCTCATCCAAAGGTACACCCGCATATTCTGCGCTACGACCATTGTTCAACCTACGATTCTCTCTTACCAACACCCATCTCAATATTGCGGCTAAGAAGCCTACGAATAGCATGAAGCCAGCACAGATGCTCATGCCCTTGACATAGTAAGGGCCATCTTCATCGGGAAAGATGCTCGTACCAACGAGCGGACCCATTTGACCGATGATGTTTAGAAGAGCCATACCAGTACCTTTCTTGCTATCACTTTCCTGGTTGTTGAGTGTCCATGTGATGATAATCGTGATAGCGCTGAAGAAGCCAGCAGCGGCGGGGTAAAGCGCTATATAGCGGACCATAGTCTTATCGGACTGCAGGTATCCGGATATTGCAATGGTACCGTAACCGAGTGTGGCGAGGAGGGAGTGAAGCATGATGAACGTCGAGCGTGACTGCATGCGATCGGAATAGTACGCAGTTGTAAGCACAACAACGAATGCGAAGAGGTAAGGTGGAGCTGAAAGTCCTTGCGCTGTGATCGACTCCCAGCCCATATCCCGTATGACCGTCGGCAAGAACACAGGCATAGCTGAACGTGAGTATACAATGTCAATGTACGTTTTGCATGCGTTTAGTACAGGGACACTTACAGCTGAAAGCAACGTTGCAAGAAAAGAACATAAGTGCTGTCAGGTAAGACTTCGGGTCCTTTAAAGTTTGGAGCACTTCATGGAAGTTGACACGTCCTCTTCGCCCACTCTGATACTTCTCCTCATCTTGATCTTCATTTTCCTTTTCCGATCTCAGCCTCATTACTGCAATCTCGCGCTGTCGTGGGCTTAACCACTTCGCCGATCCCGGGCCATCTGGTACGAAATCCCATGCCCAAACCGCTATCAACACGGACGGAAAGCCTTCAAGCAGAAAGAGCAGCCTCCAAGGACTGAGTGGACCGTGCTCACCGACTTTCGTAATAAGGTAAGCTAGTGCTCCAGCAAATGATGCTGAGAGAGGGCTAGCACTGATGAAGAGTCCAGTTCGAAAAGCCAGTTCAGACCGGCGGAAGAAAAAGGACAAGTAGAAGGGTACGCCAGGCCCAAAGGCCGCTTCGCTGATGCCGAGGAGGGCTCGCAGAACGAGGAGGAAGCTGAAGGACGTTGCGACTGCCTGAAGCGACGCAACTACGCCCCAAGACAGAATACACAGGGATATGTAGATGTGCGGCGGGACGATGCGGTACCTAACAGCATTAGATGCGCTTACTTCCCCACTTGCAAAGACCTACATGAGCGTCATCCACTCGAATAGGATGTATGTAATATAGAACGCCCACAGCAACCACTCATATTGGGTAGAGCTGAGCTTCAGATCATCCGCAAGACCGGCTATACGCGCATTGCCAATGTCTATTAATTCCATCAGCGTCCATCACCAGACCTACCAGATCTGCTTTGCGCACATCTGACGTACATATCACCCCTCTGAGCCTTCCAGGTGTAGAAAGTACTCACTCGACCGATCCAAGAAGCTTAACATGTACAGCAAGGCCATAAACGCGACTAGCCTGCGATCAAGCTTTTTGAGCACTCTTCGATCCTCATCTGGAGTATACAGCTCGTAGCTCTGGACAGAATCTAAGGAGGCGCGTCGTATGCTGGGTAGGAAACCCTCGTCTTCTTCTCCCAGCTCTTCTTTGTGTGCGGGTTCATCGTGGGGAGTGATTGTTCGAAGTTCGAAAGAGTTCGGTTCGTGTATCATGGACAGTTGATCATCAAAGGATTGTGAAGAGCGAGGCGAGGGTGTGAACTTGGGCGAGCTCTCATCGGTGCTGTTGGATGCTGGCTCGTGCTGTCTGCGGCGGGAGGAGAAGGGCATGCTTAGATTGGATTGCCAGGAATGAACCGCACCAAACAATGAGAGATCATGTCGAGAATGAAAGGGGCGCCGAGGAAGAGCACGAACGCATTACTACTGACGAGTCGCGTAGACTCGAGTATGTCTAAGCTGTCTCGCTCGTGAGATGACGCGTAGAAGCCCGTGCGCTGATGTACCCCACAATCGGTACCTGCTCAGCCCTTGTATACAGATTGGGTGATACCATACCAAACCCAACGTCCACTCTGAAGACAACCCATTGTATTTCCACAGACGTAAGCATCAGAGGGTAATCGATAACCCAGTTCGTACTGTGGGCCGTCTCATTGATCCTGGAGTACAGGTCGGAGATCCCCTGGGCGCCGGGTTATTACGGGTGATTCATGTTGTGCAGAATCATAGTCCCGTTCGGCCAATGTTTTTCACCTTGTAGTATTCCAGAATAGGTGCTTCTGCTTGACTGGTTCTTTCGATCTTCATGCTCAGTATACGCAGCGGCCATCTCAGGGGTAGGCCCCCATGACAACACTTCTCGTTCACACCTCCGGGAATGTTCGCCTTGGAAAAACCGTTCCACTTATACATCTCCCTAGCGATCTTGATATATGCATCTCGTTTGTCGAAGTCCGAGTATCAAGGCAAAATATTCCGTGGTCTCGGCGTCAGTAATATGCTTCAGAAGTCCTCGGAAAAGATAGTCTGTATTGTGCTTGACGCTGGCTTTGTCGTACGACAAACATGTATCTACTATAATGTCCCGACTGCAGTGTTTCGCCTCATCCCAAGTACGGAAGCTCTGAATCAGAAGCTTGTAGGTTGCCGCCTCGTCTTTGTCGAGGACAAGCTCGTGGACGAATGCAACTCGATCTTTGTTGGTTGTCATAGGCTTATCTTCGTTGAAGCTTTGTACAACATGGCCGTAGGCTTCTCCAGAGGCAAAATTAAGATCTTTATCTTTAAAGGAGGGGAAGTCCAAGCTCGGATAGGGTTTACTGGCAACACATCACCGATGTCGTTTGAGAGCGGTGCAAGGATCATCCACCTCTGCCTGCAAAAATCAGCACCTATCACAGGAGAACGGCAAGCCTGAGTCCAATTATGGCTGCTGTTGGTGATCATACATGGGTCACCGAAGGGGAATAAATAAGGCTAGGTGAATATAGTGGTCGCGAAACAATCGCATTCGTACGTATCTCGGTCTTCTCCCATCGTCATGTAAGACTCTAATTGGGCAGCTTCCAGTCCTTGTAACTCCATTTCTCGGACAGATGATACTTCTTCTGCTTTCCGTAGGCGACTGGTCTCCTGGCTTCAACCTTGCCCTGAAGCAGGAAAGTCCTGAAGCGATCCTTGAGCAGGTTGCCCTCCGGTTTGAGAAGACGCAGGGAGTCGCGGAGCTCGTCTGGCAGAACAACTTCGAGTGGGGCTTCTGGTAGACTGAGGCAGGTCAGTAGATGGTCAGTCTATGGGGCATCAACAGATACTTACGGTGTCTTGCCAAATTGCTTCTTCCTCAGCTCCACTTCTTCGCCGTCATCCTCCTCCGCCAGTTCGGCATTCTTCTTTTCAAGAGCTTGTCGGACAGCTTCTCTTGCCTTTTCCTTTTCTTCTACGCTCTTGGCTAGCCTCTTGATCTCCTGCACTTGTTGCTCCTTAGCCTTCATCTTTGCTTCGTGGACCGCCTTTCGTTGAGCCTCCTTTCTCCTCTTGATCTTGTTCCGTTGTGACAAAGATTTCCTTTCTGGTCTCTTCTTCTTTCCCTCCTTGTCTTCTTTATCGCTGAAACCTTCCCACTCACTTTCCCAGACGCTCTCCTCACCAGAGTCGGATTCCGTCTCAGCGGCTGCTCGCTCCATCAGCTCAGCCTCTTCACGAGCCTCCTGCAGGCGCTTCTTCTCGGCCTCGACAGCTTTGTCGGATTCGCGCATAAGCTCATTCTGCCAGTCTTCCAACAGCGGGTTGTACGACTTCCCACCGGTGGGTTTGCGGACTGAGGGGATGGCTTTGCCGGTCTTTGCCTGCGAGATGGGCGCGTGCTTAAGGGTCTTGGGCTCGACCTTGGGCTTCTTCTTCTCCAGGTACGTGAATCGAGGATCTTCCTTGACCTCTTCTACGGCCCAAGGGTCGTAGGCAGCGTCGCCGCCTTGCACCACGTCCTTCTTGACCTGCTCGCCTCCGTATGCAATCGCCCTCAGCCTGTCGTATTCCTTGCCTGATACCTTTGCCTTCTTTCTCTTGCCATCGTCGGCAATTTCCGATAGTCGCTTCCTTGTGGATACGGCGGGGACGGCAGAGCGCTTGGCGAGGATCTCGTCGACTTTGAGAGGCTTGTGTCGTTTCGCAACCTCTTTTTGGATTTCGGCAGATCCAACGATATCGACGGCGAAAAGCTCATCGGCCGTCTTTTCAGAGATGACACCACTGTAGAATCGTTAGTATAAGTTGCTGTATGTGTAGTGAGACTGGAACATGCCCTTGGATGATCTGGTCGCGCACATCCTCTAGGCCAGACTGAATCTGCGTGACATCGACGTTCTTGCGCCAAGCCTTCTTGCCTTTGCGACTCGGCTGCTTGTACTGCGCGGGTGCTGCTTCGGTATCCGCCATTGTATCTTACGCTCGCAGTGTTGGAAGTTGTGGGGTTGTTGGCTGTCGCAAAAAGTTCGACCCAAAATTCCGACCAACAAAGCGCCGCACGGGCTAGATCCACCCCAGACCCCTGTAGCCTCTCGGTAGTCGGTGTTGGCCGCCCAGGGTACAAGGCCTCCAGATTCGACCGACACTCCTATTCAAACATCACACCCCACCAAGACATACGGTCAGAAGATTGCTTCTGATACTCTGGGATAGCACCTCTCCAAGTTTTTTGCTTTTTTGTAGAACCTCCAGCCCTACTCCACAATGGCGCAGTCGGGGTACTCAAACCCGCTCAAGAAGTTCAAGTGAGCTGTCCTCCGCGGCGGAGACCAACTTCGTATACTAACCGGCTGCAGGCTCGTATTCCTGGGCGAACAAAGTGGTATGCATACTGTCGCGAACATGGCACTTTGGAACATGTTTGCTAACATAACCTCACAGTGGGAAAGACGTCTCTCATCACCCGCTTCATGTACGACTCGTTCGACAACACCTACCAAGCGACAATCGGCATCGACTTTCTGAGCAAGGTACGCTCTTTGTGAAACCACTGCAGTGACCGCGTTCCTGAGCAACAACTGACTGTTGTCCGCAGACCATGTACCTGGAGGATCGAACCGTCCGCCTGCAGCTCTGGGACACCGCCGGCCAAGAGCGATTCCGCTCGCTGATCCCCTCGTACATCCGCGATTCTAGTGTGGCCGTGGTGGTATACGACATCACGAACAAGAAGACATTCGAGAACACAAGGAAGTGGGTCGACGATGTTAGAGGCGAGCGCGGCAACGACGTTATCATCGTGCTGGTCGGCAACAAGACCGACTTGAACGATAAGCGCGAGGTCACTACGGCCCAGGGTGAAGAGGAAGCCAAGAAGAACAACTTGATGTTTATCGAGACGAGCGCCAAGGTCGGACACAATGTAAAGGCACTGTTCAAGAGAATCGCGCAAGCGTTACCGGGTATGGAGGGCGAAGGTCAACAAGGGCAGAGTCAGAGTAGGTTTAGTTGTACACATTGCGGTGAAGAGCATGCTAACTCAGGGTCCAGTGATCGACGTGAACATCAACCCCTCGCAGCCACCAGCAGACTCGTCGTGCGCGTGTTAGATAAGACATGGCTGTCCGGCAGTCAATTCGGTTCAATCGCTCGAGGGCGTACTGTAATTATTTGGGATGATTTGCAAGTCTGAGGAAGTCATTGTCAGCAAGGCGTTCAGGCAATCAGGCATGGGCTGCATGCATCTTAACGTCGAACACGTAATCTCTAGTATAGCAGTGCGTACCCAAGCGTACGACTGCATGACGTCAATGGAGAGATGCCGAGTGCTGTTTGGATTGTATGCATTGGAAGCCCACATCTATGCCAACGCCCGCCCCAGCCAGATGGATCACGCTCAACCGGAACGCCGGCCGTGGAATCGACCGACCGCGCTGATGCTGATACATGTACAAGAATATTACAGGGGGTCGTCATCAGATGGAGTGGGGTCCAAAAATGCGTGCTGAATTCATCGAAGTGCTATCGTCTTTTTACTCGAGGTCGCCTGCCGAGCCAGCCTCAGACGGTGTCTTGCTGCCGCCGACGGGGATTGACGTGTCTACTGCGATCATCTCGGCGAGGATGTCGAGGACGGGCTGACAGGTGTTAGCGAATCATCAGACCAGGCCAGCAAGCAATGGCTTCTTACCTTGGGCACCGTCTTGTCGTAGATGTTGATCAATTCCCGCGGGTTGGGGTAGACCTTCAATGCGCGGTAGAAGCATAGCGCCGCCTCCACGTTATCCGCACCTGCCAGAGAATTAGCACCACGTCCCACGAGCGGGATCAAAGTCAAGCCATACCCTTCTGTACCATGCCTTCTCCCTGCGCAACCTCCTGCATAAAGTACGCCTCCACCTCCTCTGGGTCCTTGGGGAAGCCCTCCTCGTTTGCCCGCTCTACCGCCTCCCGGATCGCCTTCTTCTGCTCGGCGCCCTGTGCCTCGGCCTCCTCCTTGGCCGCCCGCTCTGTTCGCTTCGACTCCTTCTTGAGCTGCTTGCGGAAGCCGGGGTCGTTTCGTCGCTTGTAGTCGAAGTAGGCGGCATATGCGAGAAGACCTGTTACGATGGTGCCGGCGCTAATGGCCGCAATGGTCGACGGTTTTAATGACGAGTTGGACATGGTGGCGGTGCAAGTTGCGGGTGTGAAAAGCGCAATTAGGCGAGCAAGCAACAGGTATATCCCTTGGAAATGGCCGAAGGAGATGGCGGTGATGTGGTGTGGTGTTTAACTTTTTCGACAAGTTCAGGGAAGGCACGATTCAACAAAGTGGGCCCGAGCTCACACTCGAGACCGCGGCTCCACGCATCCATGGGCGATGCGTCCCGCTACGTGTCACCGACCATCAGCAACCACTGCCCCTCGCGCCTTCACCACCGTAGTCCGTCAATCTTGCAGGCAAGATGTCGGAAAAGCAAAAGGGCATCTCCCTCCGCAAGAAGCGCGGGGACAAGAGCAAGAAGAACGCGCCGCCGCCCACCATCAGCGCGCCGCGACAGATTAGTGCGCCCATGCCAGCCGGCGTCGCTGCTGCTTCACTCCCCAGCTCCGGACGTCCTTCGAACGAATCCAGCCGCTCGAGGACCAGGCAAGATGCTCCCCAGTCACGCCCGCAGCGACCCGACAAGACGGCCGATCTGGTCAAGAGGAGGTACTCCCAGAAGATCACGACGCTGCCTGGCGACTTTGGGAATGGAGAACCCATGCCGCAGATGCCAAAGATGCCCGCCCAGTACAGAGAGAAGAGCCAGACGAGAGAGGGACGGCCGCCTGGAAGCTCCAATGGACGGGTGTTGCAGGTTGACCCACGAGCATTGAGGGACCCCAACCTGGAAGTAGAGCGATGTGAGACTACTGCGTGTCGCCGCCTCAGTGCCTGAATACTGACTTCGCATAGATGTATCGACCATCCTTGCAGACGCCTCCGAGGCCGACATCAACCGCTACCAAGATGAACTGCGCAAGACGAAACACCGTACATCCCTCGACCTACAGCATAACGTATACCAGAACCGCACACAATTCATCAAGATCAGTAAGGAGGCAGAGAAGCTCAAAGGCGAGATGCGAACACTTCGTCAGTTGATGTCAGACCTGACCACTACACTGGAACAGACGGCTTCAGCTACAGGCGCGAACGACGCTGCAAGCTCCCGAAGGGCCAACCGAAGCTCCATCGGAGACCTCAACCAACTTCGCGCTGGTCAGCTGCAGCAGCTCTACAGAGACGTCGAGGGTTCGCAAAAGTATCTACCGCCTATACCTGGGCGATATATTGTGTGGAAGTCCACAAGATGGTTTGAACTCGACTCTGCGACCCTCAAGGCGAGACGAAGAGTGCGGCTACTGCTACTGAATGACCATCTCCTTATCGCAACGGAGAAGAAAGCGCGAAATGACGTCCCTGGTCAACGTGATGGCAACAGAGCAAATATGGAATTCATGGCCCAACGATGCTTCCCACTGCAAGATACTCAGGTGATTAGGACACCCGAAGAACGCATCATCATTCGCGCTGGCTCCGAGTCCTTCACGTACGACACCAAGAAAGAGGATAGCGGCGACAAGTCCGCTTTCGTTGCTACCTTTCGTAAAACCAAAGATGACTTGCGCAAGAGCCAAGAAGCGGATGTGCAAGAGAAAGATCGAACGCAAGACTCTTATAGCCATCTCCTTTCACGCGACCCTGCTTTCATGAACAGAACGGAGTTGTTGGATAACCTTTCTGACGGCATCAACAACGAACAAGTTAGTACGTTTATCGATATGGATGGTCAGCAGCGCAACATCCGGTGGGTGGAAAGTCAACTAGACGACTTAGACATTGAGATTGCGCTTCAACACTTTCAAGAAGCAGTCCTGAAAGTCGATCGCCTGAAAGCGCTTGCGAAGAACATCAAAAGCAACGAGATGGCCAAGACAATCGTCACATATAAAGTCAACGAACGTGCTGCTAAGCTGGCGAATGTTTTGGTCAAGCATATGGTAGAGCATAACAACTGGTTCACGTCCGTCAGGCAACACGTCAGCTGGGTTGTCCAACTAGGTTTCGAAGACCGCGCACGAGAGGCCTATCTGGAAGCTCGTGGTAATCTCATCAAGACTCGCACGCGGTATGTTCTCACCTTCGTCATTGATGTTCACCGTCCACTGACTCTTTCAGGCAATGTATATTCGAAGGTAACCTTCCCGACTACATCTTCCAAACTTCCTACATCTATTTCACCATCATCAAAAACACTGTCGACATGTTTCAAAAATGCTTCCCACAACAGCTCATGTCCGCTTGCGTCAAATGGGCGAAAGAGCATATTGACCAATTCAACATATTATTGAAGAGGCAACTCAGTAGTGTTGATGAAGGCGGCAATGTGTGGAACGAATGCTTGAGGCTGGCACATGAACATGCAGAAATGCTGAGAGAGGTCGGATTGGACTTCACCGAACTGGTCGGAAACGGAATCGGTGGACAAGATGATGAAGAAGCACATGCTCCTGTAGGTTTGGGAGTGTCTGCATAAGCCTTCGAGCGTGCAGTTCACGACCAAGTAGTACGTCCGTGTATATATAATGCCAACTATTGATCTGTGACACAGTCTATCGTTCATATGATACTCGGGCCCTGCGTCCTGGCAGCTGATCTGGTTTCTTGCCAAATATGACCGCTTCTGCCTTATCTGTAACTGTCTCTCACTCTCACCCAGACTCCTCTAGACTCTTCTTCACTATCAATCGAGTTGATCCTACGGAAAAGAGTGCTTATCGTGGTAATGTGGTGCTTGCTGTTGTTGCCTTGTGGAAAACCACCTTCACTAAGGAAACACGGATGTATAGCTGACTTGTTTGTCTTTTGCCTCTCTCACTCTTACGTCCAACAACAAAGCTTGGGACTGCGCCAACGATACCTTGACTTTCGCCACTAGCATCAGTTAGAAAGCATCTGCGTCCAGAGATTATTCACAAACGACAGTCGAAATGCCGTCTGAAGTTGAAAACATCAACTACCTATACTTGGTATTGACCAATGACGGCAACCCAACTGTGAGTCTTACCAAACCCACTCCAAGTGCGCTTGAGCTGTGGAGGTGTTTTTCACTGTCTAGACGTTCTTGTCATGATTCTCATCACACGCACATGTATATACTAACTTACCATAGATTGATTGGGACGCTGTCTCCAGTGCGCTTGACCTCAAGAAAGGCGCGGTCACAAAGCGATGGTCGCGCCTTAAGCAGGCTATGGAGAAGAACGAGGTCCCCGGGGGTACCACATATCAGTTTCTATGGCTTTGTGTCAAGCACAATACGCGCGCTCAAGTGAGTACCGATTTATTCTCACTTGGGATATTTCGCAATGACAGGTTCACTAATGATGTCGTAGCCACCGAACTGGAACGACATCGCTGCCAAAGCCAACACTACTGCTGGAGCGGCATCAAAGCGCTACTCCCGGATGAAGAAAGCGTTTGAAGAGAACGGCACTGCGCCTTGTCCTTCATCGCCTGTCAAGGACACTCCCAAATCTACTGTTAAGAAGTCTCGCAAGACTGCCACTTCGTCCGGCGATGATGTTGATGTCACCCAGACCACGCCGACTCCTAAGCGCAAGCGTGCATCTCCGAAGAAGAAGGTCGCCTCCGCCGAGGACGAAGCCAAGTTTAGTTCTGATCCGGAGAATGAGGACGATCAAGAAGAACTCCTAGAGTCCAAGCCCAAACGCGCCAAGGTCGGAAAGACTAACAGCATCGTCATCCCTAAGCCTAAGCCCAAGAGCATCATCAAGGAAGAGGAGACTAGCAAGGCCAATGTTACCTCTTTCTCCGACGCTCAGGAAAGTTCCACCCCTCAGGACGAGGCTGAAGAAGTCGACCACGATACTTACTCCATTCATGAACGTAAGTTACCCTACTCCTTGGCACCTCAGCGTCTTTACCAACGTGCTGAAAACCCATTAGCGGAGCCAGCTGACTCCATTGACCCCAGCGATTACTTCGTCTGAGCTCCTCACTCCCGTTAAGATGGACTGTGTCAATGATTGCGCCCAATGTACTTGTTACGCTAGGGAAATCGCTAATGTGCTTATGAGCAGGAACTCTGGAATGGCTCAGTCACAGCGGGTAGAGCTTGAGAAGATGGTCGGTATCATGAGTTGAAGCTTTCTCATCTTCGGAAAAGACTTGATGGGATTTGTTGGACTGCATCTTACAGAGTTCAGCATCAGTTTCAGTAGATTGCACAGCGATGGCGTCAGTTGTGTTTGACCAGAAAACTTTAGCTTCCGGTTCAAACAAGGAGAAGAGGGACCTAGGTCTCTGTAGGCGCTGAGATAGTGTCTTCCTTCATACGTCTGATGAGATTCATTTACAACTCTTCCCTACTTACGGTGTCAACACCAGTTTTCCAGTTGTCTTCCTTCCCTCGATGTCCTTCGTTGCTCTCACAATCTCGCTCAAGGGGTACACATCATGAATCTTTACATTCAGCCCGTCTTTCTCGATGAACTTCCACAGCTCATTTGCGGCTGCCTGAAGCTCTTCGCGAGTGGCAATGTAGTTGAACAACGTAGGCCGAAGAAGCTTGACATTCTTTGCCGATAAGCGTCTGTATGATGTGTAAGTCGTTTCCCAGATGAAAAAAGTGGTGGAAGAACTTACGCAAGCGCAAAACCCTCGACTGGTCCCGATGCGTTCCCAAACGAACACATAGTACCCTTTCTCCTCACCACAGCCAGTGAGCTATCGAAAGTGGACTTCCCGACCGAGTCGAAGACTGCATGCACGCCCTCGCCTCCAGTAACTTCTAGCACCTTCTTGACAAAGACGTCTCGATCTTCCTCATGGTATTCTAGTAGCACCTCTGCGCCATTTTGCTTGGCCAGATTCCTCTTCTCTTCTGTGCTGGCCGTAGCAATGACCCTTGCGCCGACCGCCTTCAACAGCTGACACAGCCATAAGCCAACGCCACCAGCGGCAGCGGTGACAAGGATCCAGTCGCCTTTCTTGACTTCGTACGCGTCGCGGATCAAGGTTACAGCGGTTAGCGCCTGGAGAAGCGAAGCAGCAGCAGTCTTTGTGGAGATGGAATCAGGCAGCGGTATAGTGTAGTTCGCTGGTGCAGCGGTATACTCAGCATACGCTAATTGTCCCATGTAGGCTACCTTCGCTCCAGGCTTGAGATCAGAGGGCACATTGGGTCCAACGGAAGCAATTGTTCCAGCGCCTTCTCGGCCAAGAATGTAGGGGAATTGCGGAGGCTTGTAAACGCCCGAGCGGAAGTAGCTGTCAATTTCCGTCAGCAGTTTCTCCTCAGTTTCATGGTCACGTAGTACTCACGTGTCGATGTAGTTGATGCCAATGAACTCGTTCTTCACAAGCACCTCGCCCTCCTTCGGCTCAGGAACCGGTACGTCAGTTTTATACTGCAGAACTTCCGTGCCACCAGTCTTCTCGATGAGGACGGCTTTCATAGTCTTTGGGAGAGACGACATGGCTCTGATGTTGTGTGCTCTTGGAGCGATATGCGAATTGATGGCTGAGAGTCGTGTTGCTGCAGGTGTCGATCTTGAAAGAAGTTGCGCGGAACGAAAAGCCAAAGTCATGGATCACGAGAGACAAGCAAAGGGTCTGCTCAACTCAAGTAGGCTATCTGGAGAGGGCATGCTCGTTGATGATAAATACCCGCGGGCACGGCATTATTTCCGAGTGATCAGCGAATGACCGCCCCGCTCCCCGCACACGTCATTATCGTCTCCATTCGCGACTTCTTTCTATCAAATACGGCAGTCACAATTACTCTCCCATGGCATGATTTCAGTTGTTGCTGCACTGACCGTCGCCAAGATGTACTTTCTAGGGCGCGCCATCATTATGCTGTGTTGGTAGGGCGTGTTACCCGAGCGCTGCAGGTAAACCATGTGGGTATTGCCCGCCGTTTATCGGAATGAATGGTAAGCGGCAGATACGAAACCGATAGGAGGCTTTGTAGATGGTTCTGGAAGCCTTTTTGATCAGTTTAACATCAAGCTCGCAAGGATGTAAGCCGCACGTCTTTGGCCTCTCTTCTTGTATAAGCTCGGGCACCTAGTTTTGGCCCGGGTGTAGTTTTGGCCCACCTCACCAAAACGCGTACGCCCGATTCAACGCGTGATATCTCAACACCAACGCTATATATATATATCAAAACTTATAGATTTGGGTGTACTATTGATGCGATCGCCTCTGCCGTACAGCTAGCTATCTGATTAGCTTGACTAGTAGAGCGTGTAACCATCTTAACTGCAGCGAGATCTATCGCACGCTTAATTGTATCTACCTCACTAAAGCGGTGATTTGGATCAATCCTGGTGCGTTTACGTACTCGGGTACTAACAATACTATCTATTTTCTGGTGTAGTAGCTGGTTTGACGCTTGGAGTTGAGCTGCGTGAGATTGAGCTTGTGATATAGCCTTAGCTGCCTTGGCGAGTACTGTTTGGGTGTTTCTTGATAGTAATTCTGATCGTTGGAGCTGTTGTTGAGCCCGATATACGTCCTGAGATCGCTGGGGCGTGCGATAGATTGGATCGGATATATGTATGGGCTGGATAACTTGTGGTGGAGTGATTGGGCGCGCTGAGATCTGTGACGATGATAGCACTATATCTGGATTGTATGGCGCCAGCCCGGTAGCTCTCTATCCAGCCCGTATAACCCGATCTGATAGCCCATTAACCCGAGCTTGGTGATATGAGCTGATAAAGCGCTCTTTCTTGACTGGTGCGGCGTCATCGATTAAACTGAGCTCCTGGATCTGATGGCGATATTTAGATTTGATAACCGAGAAAGGAGCCAGATCTAGAGGCTGGAGGAGGTGAGAGGTGTGGGCGGGTAGATAGAGTAGATGGATCCGGTGCTGCCTACACTCCCACATGAACTCAATATCAACATGTGAGCCATGCCTATCTAGTATCAGCATCCGATGCCTGCCCGGATCCGGTGTAGTTTCTGGTATATAGATCCGGCGGAGCCACTCTAATCCGATCACGTTGGCCGTCCATCCATTTTCTGAAGTCGTATATATCCAATCGGGCACTGATTCTGATAGGAACCATGTAGTATGGAGAGACTTGCCCTTGAAGATTACCATACACCTGAGTTTTCGCCCGGTGGCTGATACCGACTCGATAATTGATACCCACTCCCGATTCCCTGGAGCTTTGATATAAGCCTTACGTTTACTAGCCCTAGCAATTACTCTGGTGTTTGTACATACTCCTAGTGCGATCCTAGTCTCATCCATATTCTATATATCATCAAGCTTGATATTGAGCTCGATCCGGGTACGTTCAAAGAGCTCCAAAAACGCGCGTACGATGGCTGGACTCGCAGCGTCAGCCCGAGCCACCTTGATTGATCGGCCGATAATACTAGAGACTCGGGGCTGGCGTGCCATAAAGGATTGTAGCCAGCGTTGGCCAAGTGGATCGTGATCGTTACTGAGTCGGAGTATCCGAGTCGCTATTTCTCGCACACGGGCATGAGATAGCGGCTGTGCGCGTGAGTCCTCGTCTAGTATCTAATTAACTAGAAAATCCTCTTGTACTGAGCTTAATCGCTGCTGGTTTTGATGAGCTATCGCGTGTGGAAGGCGGCCAGCTAATCTAGCGCGTAGCGACGATCGAGGTATGCCCCAAGCGGCAGCAGCAGCTCTCTGGCTTGTATAAACACCAGATTCGAGATCGCGGATAGCTAATTGTATAGCTTGCTCACGGGCGTCCATATTGAGAGTGGTGGTGTTGAGATATCGCGCGTTGAATCGGGCGTACGCGTTTTGGTGAGGTGGGCCAAAACTACACCCGGGCCAAAACTAGGTGCCCGAGCTTAGCTCTATTGATCACTAACATAGTCGGCGTTCGTTATCACGATTCTACAATTATAAATTGCTCCCTGCCCTTACCCTATGGTCAGCGTACCGTTATATCGGCTTCGAGATCTATATTTTCTTTCCGTATGTCGAGTCGTTTTTCCACATTGATCGTCCGCAGGGTTCTCGAGAAGCCCGCCCTTTCACTTCTGATTTTCACCACCGTCTCCACGTAGGATATGGAGGACAAGTACAAGGAATGGGAAGAAGACTGGCCAAAGAGATACCACCAGGAGCAGTTTGGCATGAAGAATCCGCAGATTCTTCGGAGCGGGTTGCTATCGTTCAGAGCAGACCTGGTAGCTCTCCTCAACAAGCAGACAGTTCAGATAGAAGCTCTAGAGACTCTACGAAGCAAGTATGATTTTCTCAAAGAAAAATAAGAGATACTGCAAACTAGGCATGCTGCTTCCGAGACCTCATACGGAGTCACTAAACGAGAGAACAAGAGTCTAAGGTATAACTAAACTACTATGCGCAGACTCGCCATAAAATCTGATACCGGCTTTACAAAGTTAGATGTGCGAGTCAGACTCAAAGATGAATGGACACAGACTCGTAACAGCAAGTTGAAGGCGGGGAGTTCAGACCTTTAGGAATACACTGCAGACCAGGCGACCTTAGCAAACCTAGCAGCGTCTGAGCGGATGGAGTCGCAACATGCTTGGGAAACTGCGCGGCACCAGTGACCTGGATTGGACCTAAGGACGTAGAACGTGCCGATCAACTTTGCCTTTGAGAAGACATCGCTTCCACGTGCAAGGTAGTACGAGTGTTCTCCGACCAGGAGTGTGCGAAAGGTTCAGTGATCTGGAGTCGTGAGAGACCAAGGGCGCCCTCGCTTATTTCGCCCAAACGGTCGCGCACGCGTTCCCACGCCGGCATGAACCAAGTTCGTAACTGCCCCTACGTCATCGCTCACATCGCAATCAAGTGCAAACCACAAATACGTAGGCAGAATGTCCACCTCCACTCACATGACGCGAATAGACATATTTTACTACTCCCAAGACCTAAGAGCATCAATTATCTCCACTTAGGGAACGCCTTCAGCATGGGCGCACTGTTCTCCTCCATTCTTGCGCCTATCGCTCTGCCGCTGGGCTCATTTTTAGCCATTCCTATGCTGTCTTCGTGGTCGACAGGCCTGAACCTCATCTTCCTTTCAGTCGCATGGACGACAATCGCGGCGTCATATTCTCCTCTTCAACTTGAGCTGGTTGCACCACTAGTTCTACGGCTATCTCTCTACATCATCCCTAGCCTGATCTTCTTGCTATTCGATATCGGAGTGCCCAGTCTAGCAGTTGAGTTCAAGTCGCAAGGACAATGGGGCATTCCAAGCAACCAGAAGGGAGGCGCAAGAGCGATGAGGAGGGTTATAGCATGGAGCTGTGCGAACGTGCTGCTTGCTGTTGCACTACAGGCGGCCATGGAGTTCTTGATTACCGATGTACTACGAATGAGGAGTCTCCTGCTTATCAAAGGTAGCAAGTGGGGGTTGAATCACCTGCCCAACCCGTGGACGATGGTCAAGCATGGCATTATCGGGCTTTTATCACGCAACGTAAGATACCATGATCGCGCTCATCAAGTACACTGTGCTAACAAACACGACCTAGATCCTGCAATACTATGTCCACACACACGTGCTTCACTCGCCGACTGGCGGTGCACTCTCGAACTTGCATCAGAGCTGGCACCATAGCATCAAGATTCCATACTCCTTTGCTGCAAACTACGACCACCCCATCTGCCACCTCTTGCACCGCTTCCTACCCCTTTACCTTCCGGCAATTGCTTTACGCATGCATATCCTCACCTATTTGATTCTGGTCGCTGTTTTCAGCTTAGAGGAGACATTTGTGTACTCGGGATATAATGTTCTACCTTCGACCATCATGTTGCGAGGTATGGCGCGACGTGCCGATGCGCACATGATGAGTGAGGGAGAGGGTAATTATGGATGTCTGGGTGTCTTGGACTGGTGTCACGGCACGACACTGGGCAAGGATGTTGTTGAGGACCTCAAGGCAGAGATGGAGAAGCATAACGTGGAGGGCAAGGCGGGGAAGGCTATAGACGGCGCGGGGGACGCAGCGAACGGGCTAGCGGGCAAGTTTGGCAGGGCTAGAAAAGGGAGAGGAAAGAAGTAAGTAGGTCAATCGGTGGGCAATAAGTTGTGTAACGAGGCATGTTCCCGAATCGCGTTGGCGCATTTAGTTTGGTGGTGAGGAATACCATTGGTCAGCTGTCGCTTCGATACCCTCACGTCATGTCGCTTGGAGTTTGCGTGGCAGTCGGCGCAGTATCGGTCGAACAATGTAACGTCTGTATCTCTATTTCATGCATCAGTACTCTCGATTACCGCCCAGTATATACCGCGCCAATTGAACGCCCAACTATGACATCACGCAAGCGGAGACCAAATGTTCACTTTTGGACCGTCTCGGATTCGCTTGCTTGTTATAAAGTCTTATGGTAAATGCCTTGTCGGTATCCTCCATGAAAAAAAATTGGCTGCCGTGCCGCTGCGGTTCTTGTTCCTCGCTAGTACGGCTGCAGTATGCCGAAGTCATCTTTCATCCCATGCACTGAACGCCGAATGCCCGATCGTTATCCGTCGCTTAGAAGACCATCTGGTGAGGCCTGTCTGAGCTACGGAGGCTGAAGCTGGCACCGAGGTAGTCGGCGAGGTGAGCCTCCTTCTTGATGGTGGCCAGAAGAGCCTTGTCGACGGCCTTCTGGTCCTCGACGCGGTCCTTGGAGGTCTCCTTCTTCTGTCACATGTGTCAGTACTGTCGCGTTCCTCCTCGATCGTGAATACGTACCTCGGGCTTCTCGCCCTGCTTGAAGAACGCATCCTCACCAGGCTTGTGGGCGGCCTTGTCCTTGGTGAAGTAACCGTCCTGGCTAGCCTTCTCGATAACCTTCTCGTCTACGCCCTTCAGGTCGACCTTGGTGGAGGTGGCAATGACATATCGGGCGTTTACTCGTCGAAGGGGAACACCGTTGACTTTGAAGGGACCGGTAACAAGGAGGACACCCTGGGAGAGGTGCTTGAGGACAACGACGCGCTTGCCGCGGAAGCGACCAGCAAGGAGGATGACGACGGTACCGGGCTGGAGGGACTCGCGAACCTTCGCAGGGCGGACAGACTTGCGGGCCTTGAGTCGCAGTTAGCGGAGCTCCCAATTGACGTCCTGATTCTCATCCTTGCACACCCAGACACACCCGCGGCATGCTGTCGCAGTAAATGCACCCAACACCCCTGCAGTCCTTCTCTTGCATGCAAACCGTCTTCTATCGCGAACGTACCTTCTTGGGGACAGCAACGTCCTCAGCAGGGTAGTACTTGCTGGCCTTCTGCGAGTGGTGCGGTATCGACCTCTCCCCCTTGGAGAACTTCTGGGTGGTGGGCTTCGTGTCCTCTTGTTTGGCCGCCATTTCGTTTCGCTGTGGTCGTTAGTGCTGGTCGGTGGTGTTGGCGATGGGATCGTATTTTCGTGAATTCGAATGTGTGCCAAGCTGTCCAATCGATACGCGCGACCGGGCCGCCAGTTGTTCCGTCGGTTACGTAACCCGCATGGAGCTTGCAGCTTGCGGCCATGCTTGTGGGACGGCGGCTGAACATCATTGCCCCAACCCCAAACACACGCTGCAAACATGTCTGTTCAACCGCTCATCACCTTCAAGGCCGGCCAGTGCGAGCTGACGGTGAGCGACACCGCTTCTCTAGTACCGGGGCGTACACTAACAATACGTGCAGCGCGGCGAAGGCAACTCACAGACAGTCAAGCCAGTCCAGACACCTGGCTATGTCTATCTGTACCAAGGCGAAGATGGTTTGTACGCAATCACAACACCACGTTCATCAGCTCACATGTCCAGAATTTGTGCACTTCTGCTGGCGGCCACGCGATCGCTCACTCGATCAGTCCGAGCTCGACCTCATCATGATTCCCGGTGACGGCTCCTTCCAACCCTACACCGGCAAAGATGCCGTCGATGACTCGGAGAACATCAAGTCACCCACCGACGGCCGCATCTTCGTCCTCAAGTTTAGCTCGAGCTCACAACGCTATCTCTTCTGGTTACAATCAAAATCGCAGCACCCACGGGGCGCGAGCTGGTTCAGCGAGCGTGATCTCAAGATCGGACAAGTGATTGATCTTCTGCTGACAGGCGAGGAGATTGATGTGCACGCTGAACTCGCAGGCATCTCAAACTCATCTGGCAACGACGAGGACGAGACAATGGAAGATGTAGAGCCGTCTAGCCGAAACCGCCACGGTAGCACCGGAGGCGCAGGAGCTGGCGCCACGGGAGGTGATATCCGAGATGAAGGCGAAGAGTCCCGAGAAGGAGGCGCCGATGGTGGTCGAGCGTAGGTTCCGTCTATTTGTATCGCATTCGGCGTCGTGGCGCGGTCTACCTTTCCGGAAAGAATCGAGCTGCTGTGCAAGACTTTAATCGCTCTATACAAAACTCTAAAGATATCCTGTTACGATACGGCGTTTTGGGAGAAGCTTAAGACCATCCAAGCATATGGCGATTGGCACTGGCTGCTCATGTACAACAATAGAAAATAAGCATCATGCTCCGTCTTCCACTGGCCACGCCGCGGCGCTCGTTTCGCGTTTATACTTTGTTTTTGCTTCTAGAACACAGCGCTAACGCGTCGACAGAGCCGGCTCGGGTGACGTCTCCGCCATTGTCCAAGACTTCATGAACTCGCTCAAGGGCGGCAACGCAGGCAGCAGCACCCAACAACAACGAGGATCAGAACCTTTCACTACACTCCTCGACCTCCTCTGGCCTTCACACACCCTCCCGACCGTTCAAAATGCGTCTGACGAACTCATCGACGCCCTGTGTGCACAGCTACCGACCACTCCTTTCCTCCTAGAGGCCGAAGTCGAAGATATCGACGAAATCGATCCAAATTCCGAGACAGCAC